CCTCCAAGCAGACTCTGCCACTGATCACAACACTCTGGGACCTGCTGCTCAGCCAGCTCTCAGTGCACTTAACTGTCCACTCATCACATTTCTTGGGTTTTCCCATAAGGATGCTGTAGGACACTGTGGGACACAAGGAGTGCAGGGAAAGCAGGAGCAGAGTTTTCAGTACAGCCTGCACTGAGTTAAGCTTGGCTCAGTCACATCACCACATCATAGCCTGAGAACAGCACACCCTAAAGAAATGTACTTGTTCATAACCTTAATTACCTTTTGCTCCACAGCCTTCTGGTGAGTCACTCCTCCCATTTGTGTGGGCACCAGCAGGTGCAGCAGCACACAGGTGACTGGGAGAGGGAGGCAGACAGCTCCTCATGCCTGCCTAGCACATTGTCTGAATTCTGAGAAGTGGTTCAGAGCACATGAAACAAAGGAAGATGGTTGTGCCTTGCTTCTGTGAACAAAGGCAGAGTGCAAGGGCAGTGAGACTGCTCAGATTAAAGGAAAAGGAAGGCGCAGGAAACAGATTCCAGAAAAGAAAAAGTCAGAGACACAAATTTCATGCCTGCCATTTGGAAGTGTCTCTTGCAGATTATCCACTTCGAGTAGAATCACTAGCTAAGGCACAGCACTGGGAAAACAAGGTGAGTCACTTGGGCGTTCGTGCTTGGCTAGCTTAGTGCTCCAGGTTTCATGAGGACAGTCCTTGGATGAGGTGCTCAAACTGAGCCAGAGCCAGCAGTTCCTGCACCACTGTTCAGCTAACAACAGCCCCTGTGAGGAGCAGGGGGCAGAGATCCCACAGCACTCAGACCAGCAGGAGCACCTCAAGTCCTCAGCATTGCTACTAAGCCACGCGGTACGAGCCCTAAAGGATCCAAGGAAATTACATGCACTTAATATCTACACTGCACAACCTTCACACCACCTGTACTACTCAACCTTGTCCCACTTGCCACTGTATTTGTTCACCTATCACTTCACAGAGTCATAGAATCACAGGATCATAGAATTTCAGGGTTGGAATGGACCTTACAGATCATCTAGTCCCAATCCCCTGCCCTGGGCAGGGACACCTCCCACCAGAGCAGGTTGCTCAAGGCTCATCCAACCTGGCTGTGAACACTGCCAGGGTTGGGGCAGCCACAGCCTCCCTGGGCACCCTGGGACAGGGTCTCACCACCACAACAGGCAAAACTTCTGCCTAACATCTAACCTCAATTTCCCTCCTTCAATTTGTGCCCATTGCCCCTTGTGCTGTCCCTGCAGCTCCTAACACAGATCCCTCTGCAGCTTCCCTGGAGCCCCTTCAGATACTGAATGGAGAAAAGATACACCAAATCACAGTGGCTGTCACTCAGACAGAAGTGTTCAACAGATCATATGGTTTGGGTGATGAAACAGGCTTCAGGGAACTGGAAGAAGGAAATAGCACAACTTTGGATGCTTGTATGTGTCTTGGCTTTCTTTTGTTTGCTTGTCATGCCCTCGTAAAGGACCTCAGAAAACATGGGGTAGATGTAACTTCTATGAAGCAGAACCTGTTTCAAAAGCAGGTTCAGAGGAGACAGCACTTCACTAACCAGTGGAAGAATGTTGAGAAGAGTCTGCAGGGTCTGGTTTAGGTATAAGGTAATTAACTGATTTCCCCTAGACCTCAGTCTGCAGGGTCTGGTTTAGGTATAAGATAATTAACTGATTTCCCCTAGATCTTCTATTAGTATACTCTTATTTTGGTGACATCTGTGACCTTAGTAACAGGGAAACAGACTGTGATGGCAGCTTAAGAATTCAGTGTTATCCTTAAGAATGGGCTGGAAACAACACTGCAATTCATTACAAACAAACTTCTGCACTTAATAACAGATAAAAACTGTACCAACACACACTGGTAGATAATTAGAGACAAAGCTAAGGAGGCAGCAAGAGACCAAAGGCTGAATGAGTATTGTTCTGTCTTGCAAAAGGCAATTATGCTGAGATACATAAACAGAACATCAGCCTCGAGACATGTGAAATTAATTTCTCCCTATTAGGGCCTACTAGGATAACCTCAGCCAGAGGTTTCTGTTCAATTATAGGCACCACAGTCTCAGCTAAACATGAGTCAACGTGACAGAACACAAAGAACGACGAGAAAGGTCAGAAGTACAAAAAATATGGATTGTAGGGGAAAAGGAAACAAATTAACATTTAATGTGGGGAAGGCAAATCATACTCCTAGCCAAGTACAGAGAATGGTGCTGTAAAATCTCATATCCACCAGGATGTCCATGGGCAGGCACCACAGTCTCAGCTAAACATGAGTCAACGTGACAGAACACAAAGAACGACGAGAAAGGTCAGAAGTACAAAAAATATGGATTGTAGGGGAAAAGGAAACAAATTAACATTTAATGTGGGGAAGGCAAATCATACTCCTAGCCAAGTACAGAGAATGGTGCTGTAAAATCTCATATCCACCAGGATGTCCATGGGCAGAACAGGAACTACAGGGGTTAAAAAAAATCACCATCAGGGCTGGGCTGGAGGAGATCTCTGTAATCATTGAGTCCAACCATTAACTGTCACTGCTGGAACCCCCAAACCCTAACCCAGATCCTCCAGTGCCACATCAGACACCTCTGAAACACCTCCAGGGACCAATGTCAGGGGTGTAGGTCAAAATAGTCACAATAAGTGATCAGCCATAGTTCTTAGAACTATACAGTTAAAACATCTCTAAACAAAACATGACTTCAAAGCTGCCTTTGGGTTTTTGAGGCCCATATTGCTTTTTGCTAATGCAATTCTCAACCTTCAAAAGTTTCCCCAAGTGAGCAATGAATTTAAAACATTCACATGGCTACAAAAATAAGTCAGAGCTGTTTCCACACACCCCCCATAACATTTCAGCTCATGGAGAGATGAAATAATTTACTAACTCCAGTTGAGGTGTTGAATATTAAAGTTCAAGGTTTGTACAGGAAGTCTAAGAGATCTTGCAATGAATCTCCCACTTGTTGCCAGTGAGAGACAATACTCCCAGTCCCATTTGCAAGAGCAGTGACACTTGGACTGGATTTATGTGGTAACAGATCAGTATGAGGTTATGGAACTCCATTTAGCAATTAGAACATCAAGTTCCTAACCAAAATTACCAGTTTTAGACGTTCTTTTCTCCTCTTGCCAAAGGCAGAGCTTGATGATCCAGGCTCTGACTCTTGGCCTCCTGTCCTGCCATTGTCATCATCCTCCTCCTCATCTTCTTCCATGCACCATTCTGGCAGCTCTGGTGGAGATGGTGCATCATCTTCATCTCCGTAGCGGCGAAACAACTCCTTCAGGTAGTCAGCTTTGTAAATACCTGGGGGTCTGGCCTGAGCAAACGTGGCCACAGCAGCCTCAATGCTGTGAAACAAAAAGTGAAAATCACTCTGGATGGTTTCATATCCATGTTTTAGTCATGCCTTAAACCAAACAAGATTTATCGGGACTGAGAATCAGAACAAACCGTACTGGGAAAAATGATCCTAATCTTTCTCAATTACTTCTCTTTGCAGAGGTTTCTCATAAAAACCCTGTAATTCAGAAGCCTTTTACCACAGAATCATAGAACCAACCAGGCTGGAAAAGACCTCAAAGATCATCAAGTCCAACCCTACCGTGGTCACTAGCCCATGGCACTAAGTGCCACATCCAGTCTCAGCTTGAAAACCACCAGGGATGGGGAATCCACCACCTCCCTGGGCAGCACATTCCAATGCCTGAGCACTCTCTCTGCAAAAAATCTCTTCCTAAGATCCAACCTAACCCTCCCCTGGCAGAGCTTGAGTCTGTGCCCTCTTGTCCTGCTGCTGGTTGCCTGGGAGCAGAGACCAACCCCCACCTGACTCCAACCTCCTGGCAGGGAGTTGCAGAGGGTGAGAAGGTCTCCCCTGAGCCTCCTCTTCTCCAGGCTGAACCCCCCCAGCTCCCTCAGCCTCTCCTCATGCCACTTGTGCTCCAGTCCCTTCCCCAGCCTCGTTGCTCTGCTCTGGACCTGCTCCAGCCCCTCAATGTCCCTCCTGAGCTGAGGGGCCAGAACTGAGCACAGGATTCAAGGTGTGGCCTCACCAACACCATGCAGCTAACACTTAAGTGCTTTAATAAACTGGAGACCGTGAAAATTCTGCTGACTGTAAGGACAAACCAAGCCAAAAGGGAAAGGGGCTCAAAGATGTTCCCATTTGTCTCTGACGATATTAGAGGAACTCTACAATCTTCTGGCATAGATGGCAATGAAAGCCAAAGGAGGTGGCACAGATTGCAAGGACAGAAACCTAGCTGAAAGAAAACATCTATTTCCATGTTCTAGAAACACAAGTCCCTGGGAAAAAAACGAGTTGTTTTAAAGAGACTTGAGGAAGGTTTCTGATCATTGCCTAGAGAGCTTTCAGACTGGATGACCTTTCTCTAAGCCAAGTATAAAACACATCTCACAATCCATCAGCAACAATCCTACATCATATGCTTAAGGAATGAATACAGATGGACTTTTCCATCAGGAAAATCTTATTTCCTCATCAGCAATGCACAGTGCCTTATTGTAAGGAATGATAGAGCAAATTAGATTTATTTTGATACAATGCTTAGCATTAACTACCACCTTGCCAAAAGTCCTTCTTTGGCTGTGGACAACTTTCCTTACCAGGTGATATCTGGGGGTTGTATGAAGAAGATCTGACAGAGATGAATAAACTTGATACAACTACCTGAATTCACAAAAAAAAATAAGCCATGGCTGGAAAGTTTTAAGGCTTTTCCCAACAGAGGTTTGGAAATAAAGAGAGGCTGCATAAAGCAGGAGACTCAGATTCAAGTCCATTTCCTCTTCAGAACAAATGAGCAATTCTAATTACTGCACATGCTTTTAGACTGTTAGATTAATAGCTTTGAAATTTGCTACCCCATAGAACAACTAGACTTGAGTCAAAAAACAAGCTGGAAACAAAGACTTGATCTGCCCCAAATCCTTCAGCAGCAAGAATGTCACTTGCTGTTGCTCTAGCTAAACTCTTCCCTCCAGAATGCAAATAAAAGACATGCAAACCTATATAAAAAAGATACAAAAGTAAGGGAAAGAATCTTTCAGGCACCTCTGAACTCAAAACGTGAGACATGTCACAGGGAGGAGACACAGTACAATAAACACACTGCTGAAAGCCACACACAGCAGCTCCAGGTCACCTTGGCCCTGGAAAGGTTGACTGAAACAAGGAGATGGAAAATGTTCTTTTGGGCTGTTTGCTTGAGATTTTCAGGCAGTTTCAAAATGACCAGTGAACACATTGGAAGAGCTGTCAGGACACTGAGTGAGACATACTGGAGATGCCTTTGCCACTGTCCAAAATCAGCACTCAAAGTTACCTCCAGTCCAACTTCTCAACCAGAAAGGCACAGATGAGGAATCCAGTCCTGTTGAAGCCATGTGTGCAGTGGACACCTGGACAAGAGAAGACAAGGGCAGAGTCACCTGTAAGTCATTCTGACAAACATGTTTTAATACTACAGGTGTGGGTTTGGATCCTCCCACCTCCACCTGTGACATTCCAGGCTAATCTCTTCCCATCACAGCAGCACAGACCACATATAAGGCTAAAAGGCAATTCATTACAGTCTTCCTGCAAATTAGCAACAGCAGAAGGATAGGACACTTGAGTTTATCCCACTCAAGAGCCCTACCCTAATGCCACTGAAACATGGCTGACGTAGATAAGATCACACACTTTATGACTGCTCAAATGCTGATCAGAAGGCAATACAAACATTTAATAATTGGGCTCTTGGTGCATTCAACAAGCATGGCACTCATTTCACAGCAGCAGCAGAGAAAATCATACCAGCATTACCCTGCCCAAAGTGATGCCAACAGACCACACTTCCATCTCAGATCTGCTACTACCATGCTAAGACCAGACTTACTAATTTGGCAAAAAAAGCTACAAAAAGCAAAGTACACAATGGTATAATAACCTTGAATTACTTATCTTTTCAATGTAAGACAAAAAGAATTAAGTCTTCAACCTGGACTTGACTGATTTCATCCCCCAGAGGAAGGAAGGGAAGAGAGAAATGCATTGGAATGTTTTTTCGTCTCTCAAGGCAAGAGCACCACCTAGTGCTACCCAGAACAGCCTGAACGTTGGTGCTATCCAACGTGTGAAGGATGCAGGAAAGATATTGTCTCTTCTGCCTGCTACATTTTAAATGATAAATACCAAAGTTTCCACTAACATCAACCGCTTCTCTGGGCAACACAGAATCACAGAACCATCAAGGCTGGAGGAGATGTCTAAGATCATCGAGTCCAACCATGAACCTGTCACTGCTGGAACCCCCAAACCCTAACCCAGATCCTCCAGTGCCACATCAGACACCTCTGAAACACCTCCAGGGATGGTGACTGCACCACCTCCCTGGGCAATATCCCAGGGCCTGTCGAGCACTGAGGACTGTGCCCTGCTGGATTTTGACCAGCCTTCAATCACGCCTGATCCAGAAAGGCTGTAAAATTATCATCCAAGAGGCTTGAGGACAACACTCATTGTGACTGTGGAAACTCATTGCAAAGTAATTTCTTCTATCTGACAGTTTGCAGAGAGAGCTGAACATAAATGTGCTTCACAGAAACCAGAATACAATGGTTTGAACTAAAAGCAGAAGCAATAGAAACTAAGAACCTACTTTGCTCCAGGTAAAAAAGTATCTTTAGAACATTCAAATATTCACTGCAATACATTAGAATATAGAAGAAAAACTTTACCTAATATCTACTACTAGTTTTGTGAGGTTTGCTAAAAATCATAGAATCATATAGCTTTAGGGGTTGGAATGGAGCTCAGAGCTGACCCAGCCCCAAGCCCTGCCCTGGGCAGGGACACCTCCCACCAGAGCAGGTTGCTCAAGGCTCAGCCAACCTGGCTGTGAACACTGCCAGGGTTGGGGCAGCCACAGCCTCCCTGGGCACCCTGGGACAGGGTCTCACCACCAGAACAGGCAAAACTTCTGCCTAGCATCCAACCTCAATTTACCCTCCTTCAATTTGTGCCCATTGCCCCTTGTGCTGTCCCTGCAGCTCCTAACACAGATCCCTCTGCAGCTTCCCTGGAGCCCCTTCAGCTCCTGCAAGGTGCTCTGAGCTCTCCACACAACCTTCTCTTCTCCAGGCTCAACAGCCCCAACTCCCTCAGCCTGTGCTCACAGGGAGATGCTCCAGTGCTCTGAGCAGCTCTGTGGCCTCCTCTGCACTTGCTCCAACACTTCCATGTCCTTCTCAGGCTGAGGCCCCAGAGCTGTGTGCAGGATTCCAGGTGGGTCTCACAGAGCAGAGCAGAGGGGCAGAATCACCTCCCTTGCCCTGCTGCCCACACTCCTGTGGCTCAGCCCAGGATAATTCAGTTACCAAATACAACCTCGAGCAAGCCAGAACATCAAATGCCAAACCTGCACTGCATTCTTCTGCTGGTGCAAATGCAAGTGTCATGTACTTGTAGCCAGTTTTTAAGCCTGTGTATTCTGCTGCATCGAGTCAGCAGCTGCAATCAAACTGATGGATGTGAAACTTACCAGGAGTCCAATCTCTACATGCATAAACACTGTTCTGAGGAGACTCCTTACTGGGACTTTTAATGAGACTGCAACTGTGAGTAAACAGGCAATAAACCAAGGGTAAGAGCTGAGATGGCTAAGAGATGGAGGGAAGAGGATGTACCTATGAGCTCTGAGGGATTCTTGTCACTGAAGTGTTCACACACACGGATGAAGGTCTCTGTGTTCTCAGGTGTGGGGCACTCACCATGCCTGCAAAGCAACACACACATTAGGGCAGGGGAAGAACAGAAAACTGAACTGCCTCAGTGTGATCTTCCAAATGAAAAGCCAAATAATTAGCTTTGATGTGCACACGACTTACCCTTTACACTGCAGCTTTATGTATTTAATTCCCTCTTTCTCTATATCATTCCTATCATAGAATCTAGTGGTGTTGGTCAAGTCTACCAGTAAGCCCATCTTAACCTAAAAACAAGCAAAAAAAGAAAAACATGAACTTGTATATGTGGTTCAAACATCAGAGCATAACTGCTAAATGGCTAACAACACCCAAAGTCAGAGCAACAGCATTGGCAAGTCTGAAAAGTCTTCAGTATTGTCTTTATTCATGGAGTCTGTATGTTACCACCACCACAGACATCTGTTACCTCGTGTAAATCAGCCCCAGCCATCACCTCAGCAGCTGCTTCCCACCAGGGACTGCAAATCAGGGAGCTGCTAACAGCTAAAGAATTGTTTTCACACCCTAAAAAGACAAACCAGGTGGAACCAGGTGCTTTCATGCTTTAAGCAGAAGTGTCAAACGGTGGAACAGTGAAATTACCACAAGTTCTCTGTAACTTCAGAACACATGCAGGATTTTAAACTACTTTAAACCAGGAATGAGATTGGTCTGGGGAAATTTCTAGGGATGCCTATTAAAGACACTCAGCACCAAACCCAACACCTTACAGAGGAATTGGAGGAGAGTTTAAATGCAGAGATCCAAGAATTCCAGCAGGACATGTCCTACCATTCCACACCTGAGAACAGGCACATATGCTGCACTGACAGGACTTTCTTATCACATTGCACACAGATACTTCTGCCTCTACTATAGTAGTGAACTACGAGAATTACACTGACTAGTTCAGCAACTACTTCATACCTAAGCCTAGGTAAGATCCATAACATGAGCATTCCCATCTTTTAGTCACCTGGTGCTTCTGATCAACAAATTCAGAATTAATCTGATTTACACCAACAGCCAAAAATAAGAGGGGTAAAAAAAACCTCATCACTTGCATGATTCATTTCATAAAACACAGTCATAACTGTGCTAAACTTCTATGTAAAAGTTTACTGAACTAAAAGAATTAGGAGCTTGGCAGGCCCAAGGTTCCATGTCCCATGTCTCCAGATGCACTGGACTGGGCACAACACTTCAGAGACCTACATGAGAGGCTGGGAAAATCCCATTGCCCACCTTCAGTGTCACAGGAGCATGAAAACAACAACTTGCAGACTGAAACACACAGACAGAGACAGGCAGAGAATGAAGGATAAGGCAGAACCACAAGTCTGTAGTGGTGGATGGAATGACAAAGGCACCCACTCACCTTCCTGGGTCCCAACGTATGCTCCTGGAAGAGTTTTTCTATTTATACTACTTTTTTTTTCCACCAAGAATCACAGAACCAGCTGGGTTGGAAGAGACCTC